GGACCCATTTTGGAAAATTGGGCCATTAATGGGCTTTTATGGATTTACAATTTGGGCCTTGATAGGTTAAGGGTGAAATGGTCATTTCACCCCAAGAATAGATTATGGATCATAGTTCGGGACCCAATTGCTAATTGGGTGATATTTTAGTATCGATAGCTCGAGGAATTGTCAGGGCAACAGTTAAGGATTTTGGGCAACAAGTTATAGCATTCAAGGTGAGTCTCCTCACTGTTTGTATCAGTCGAAGGCTCTAATGTTGGCCCATTTGGTTTATGTATTGTACGAAGACCCGGGGATTAGCCCTAGACATTATGTATGAAAGACCAGGAGGTGGCTCCTGGCACACTATATGCTAATTAGCTAAGTAGAGTACTATGTATACTAGTTGTCTTTGTGATGCTTGCATGGAAGACCAGGAGGTGGATCTTACCACTTGTCTGTAAGACCAAAGGGGTGGCCCCCGGCTTGGCAAGAAAGACCACGAGACGGCATGTGGTATAATGACAAGATTATGTGCGACACATAGCACCTTATTGATTATGATATATGAATGGTATGTATCGCTCACGGTTATGTATGGCATGTATGGATCAGTTGATATGTATGGTATGTGGTATTTGGGAAACTCACTAAGCTTCGTGCTTACAGTTTTCAGTTTTGGTTTCAGGTACCTCTAGTTTTCAGAAAAAGAGCTCGAGACGATCACAACATATGCACCTATGTTTTTCGCAATATGTGATTTTTGGGAATGAAATCTGATAAATGTTTTATTTAAAAAAAATTCAATGTGTAAACAAAGTTATAATAGTGTTTTAGTTATATTAAAAATGAAAATTTTACCCTAGATTCTTAGGATGTTACACAAGCGATATTGTTTTATAAATATTAAACAATACTTTTCAACTACTATGTATAGACAGGGGCTAGGCATGAAACACCAGAGAGCAGGACCATTTTGGCATAAAAGCTGTTCTGAAATCCAACAACCCTATGCGGCTCTTCAAACCAGATTTCCCGTACCGCGAGTAGTTATAATAACACTTTATATTTTATAATACTTAGCGTATATATTGTTTATAGACCCATAATAACGATAATAAACTTAAAAATAAGTTGTACTTAATGCACGATATGCATAACTCTACTTACAGGTGGTTTAGCGAGAAACCAGACTTTGCGCGGGTGGAACTTCGTCGTTGAATCTTTCTAAAAAGATTCTTGTAGTGCTTCAGCCCTCACCTTACTACACTAAAACTAAAGAAAGGGAATTCGAATCACGAGGGACCGAAATGCTCGGATGGGATAAGAAGAGAAAGACTCTTGAATCAAGAGAATGATGCAAGAAATATGAGACCCTAGAGGCTCTTATTTATAGTAATGGAATTAACACAAAAACTAACCCCCATAGTTACTTAATGACCTTATAGTTATTTCAACGACTAAACACCACTTTATAATATTATTTTAAATATATTTAACGATACTTGTACTAAACTAATATCGAAAGTACTCAACACTAGTCTTATAACGACCGCATCGTCGATACATTTCTAGTGATATATACATATGTATATATATGTATACGTGTATATGATTTATACTTTATTTTAATACGTAAATATGCTATTATAATTTCGTTTAAACTTCGTCGGCTAATTTAGACTTTATTTTTCGTCTATATTTTTATAAAATTAAATGATTTTACTAAAACCATAATTCTCTAGTACAAACTTCGTTTTTTACTTTCTTTTTCTCAAAATTCATATTTTAAGGAGTACTACAATTTTCTTTTTGGTGACATTAGCTAAAAGTCAACTATTCTCTTCGTAACTTTTTACGTGACACATTCTTTATGTGCAGTTGATTTTTATATCTTATAAAAATCATATCTAATTCATACGTATTCGGATTTCGACGAAATTTATATTTTTAGAATCGGGACAACGTAACTTTCTATATATATATATATATATATATATATATATATATATATATATATATATATATACTTTTTTTACGATTTACGGATGATTCAAATGGTTTTTTTCTAATTTATTGTGTTAAAATATTCATGAAACACATAATATTCATATAATTTTTCTTTATTACGTCAAATAGGTTCTAATTGTTGACACTAACTCCTACTTTGGTTAAGATTGTTTATCCTAGATAATCTTCTATAAAAAATCATTTTTAACACCTATTATATCTTAATTGACTAGCCCAAATCTACGGATGTGATATCAACGTCCGATGAACAATCACTCCCTTTACCTTCTCTAACAAGACTACCGGAAAACCACCATACCCTTTATACAAAGCAAATTAAAAGTAAATCATAGGAAAATGTATCAGGAACCATATATGAAGAAAATCACTATCATGTCTAAAGTAAATTTGAAGGAAATCAAATTCGATAATAAGAAAAGCAAATCTAAACAACGTAACATCGAAAAATCAAACCCTACCGAATTTTAATAAAAAATAAACTAGAAACCAAACCTGAGGAAAATCATCGGAGAAACTAAAGAGTATAACTGGGTGACATTCTACTTCAGCTTTACCAAAGAAACCAGATCAGTGGTCAAAACTTTTTGTCTGAGATGGCAACAGTGGCCAAAACTTTTCACCTAATAACGCATCGATATATTGACGTGGTTCAGGGAGGCATGAATGGTGAGAGAGAAGAAAGTTGAGTACAACGGTGGTTTTAACCCGATGAAAATAGATGGAATGGCACATGTTGGTGGCATCCTCGGCTCCAACAGGAGCTCCATCAACAGAGAGAAAGGAAGAAGGTGGGAGAGGGTTTCGGTAAATGAATAAAGAGGTTAGGTTATATATATTTGACTTGAGGTGATAAAAAAAGTTATAGTGGGGCTTTATCATAATAAAAATAATTATTTATATTGATTTAAAATATAAAAAATCAAATAATGGTAAAATAGTATTTTTGTAGATCGGACATGACTAAATGTGCAACAAAATTACATCTTAAGGATGGTTTGGATTAAAAAATATTAAAAACAAAGTACACAGATTAGTTCAAACCATAGGGACCGTACACAGAATTTACTCTTAAACATATAAAGCTAAAAAAAAGAAACTCGTAAACATACTTAGTATTTTGCTTATCCCTCTTTAAATTTAGGGAAAATGACATATACGCCCTATAGACTTTTTAGGGTTAACTTTTTTAGTCACTTAACTTTTTAAGTGACTTTATGAGGGAACAAACTTGTGGTCTACCTGTCTTTTTAGTCCTCTTGACTTGCTATAACCAGTTTGAGTGCCACGTACCCAAAACTTGGGCCCTTCCCTTCTTCCTCCTGCCGAGCAACACACCACAAACACCCATGTGTGAGCTGCTTCTACCCTCAAACACCATATCGGCCATGATGATGGCCTAATCGAAGTTGAAGGCCACCGGAAATCGAGCTCGCCACCTCCTTCTGTCGATCTTTGCAGCCTTCCCATCACCGATCTGCCTCTTTCCCCTTCGTATTCTTGCTGGTCGGACTGAAAGGCAACAATCTAGAGGTCACCAGAAACCCCGTCTTTTGATCTAACGGTATGGATGGCTTCCCATCTTGAATCGCTTGATTTATGAGGTTTGCTCATATTGATGCTTAAACCGCTACAGCTGCTTTCATCACTTACATTGGTGCTTGTGCTTCCTCTACACATATTGATCTTACCACTCTCAACAAGATCCATTATTTCATTCATTTTACTACTCCATTTGTTATTGTAATGCTGCTAACTCCGTCACTTAATTTACCAGATACCGAGTTGTTTTTTGAAGTTCCTTGACCCGATAAACTCTTTTGGGGATCGAATGTATCTTCAATGTCTATTTTATCACCAACGATTTTTGGTTTGACTTTTTAGACTCTATTTCCATCTTTTCTGTTGATTTTGTTGGAGTTGCAGGCTCTAAGTTACTACTCCCACTTGGGATTGCCCTACGGCTATTGCTACCATTTTCAGTCTCTACAACGTTGATTTAAAAGCTTGATCTCCGAAAATTGATTTTTATCCAACCCTCCACCTTACCGGTCAACTTCAAAGACAAACACCCCCTCTTAAGTCGTTGATCCGCCTTGGCCCTTTTCCTTTCACATTTTCTGCTAGACACATGAGACAAACGAGAACATGGTCTAATTTCCTTGAGATTTGATTTTGCAATGAATAGGGTTTGATGGAGTGAGGGCTAGTCAAAAGCACCGTCATCAAAGAAGCCTCCTTGAACTCTCCAAATTAAAGAACTCAAATAGAGCAGAGTTGGTGATGTGGCAAGTTTGGTCAACAAATTGGAAAAATTCAAAGTCAGTTTAGGGGAATTGGTCAACAAATGCCAATGTGGCAAAGAGGTAACCGGGTGACCCATTCACTTTGGCCAAAATGATTTAATCAACCTGACAAAAAGGACTTGGTTCCCTCGTGAAGTCATCAAAATAGTTTAGGAACTAAAAAGGTAAACCTTAGAAACCTCATAGTATGTGTCATTTCTCTTTAATTTAATAAGAATATAATATATTAATTAAACAACAATAAAAAATAAAAATAAAAACTATATATTTCAAAGAAGCAATTAACTTTTATTAGAAAATTAAACATACTTTAAGTTTTTAATATTTATTTGTTAGACTTTAGAAATATTTGACGCATTTAATTGGTTATAAAATAAAATATAACTTAAATTAAACGGGTTTATATAAATAAATGCTTAACAACTAAATCTGCTTATTAATAGGTTGCAATATGTTTTATAATTAAATTAAAATGAAAAATTATCCAAGACACAAAATTAAACACATTATATGTGTAATTTTGCTTCGTAGAAAATATTTTTTAAGATAGACTAACATAAAAAATTTGTTATGTTTACTCATTCAATGAAAATCAAATTGAAATTAAAACCAAATATAATGTGGTTTGAAAATATATAACCAACTTAATCGTTGTTAACAATAATTAGGAAGTTATGTATGACGTCAACCTGTGGACACATGAAGCATCAACTTGATGTTGATACATTTCTTAGCGAAGTCCAAAACGGATTTAGCGCCAAATGTGTTAAGATCTAGGGCAACATCATATCTACAACAATCCAAATCAGCATAATTAGTTGAAGTGAAACAGAGGTAGATGAAGTCAAATATATAAAATTTTATACCTTTCACGAAAGTTAGTGGATGCAGCTGTATTAACAATAACTTCAACATCTCTCCACATGTCCTCTTTCAGGAATGATTCTTTTACTCCTAAGTTCTCACATGTTATGTCTCCCGGAACTAGAATTACCTTTTCAGAGAGAAAGTTTTGCAGGTTTGTATGGTACTTCTCTTTCAAGACTTTAAACAAATCCTTTTCTACTGCCTATGATGCATAAGTGTCTTATTGGCTCTTGACAAGAATTACGAAGGAAGATAATTTTAACTTATAGATTAAGTGTGTAACGAGATGAACAATACCTCGGTTTGGAAGCGTCGTAAGGCAGACTTGATATCAGTTGCTCTGACAAGAAGATATAGCTTCTTCACATTTGGTTGAACTCTAAGTATCTTCTCCACAAAAACTATAATGATACATATAATTATAACATATCCATATTGAATATACATATAGAATAGATATTTACTAATAAGAAGTATAGAAGTGTACTTCATGAATCGATTAAATAGAACAGGTGTTTCTTGATGTAGACAACAACTCTTACAAGTTAGAAATGCAATAATTGATATGAAATGTTATGAACATAGGCATGAAGTTATTTTTTGACCTTGTGTATTACATATAAATCAATGTTAAAGAGACAACCAGAGACTTTACTTTTTGCCAGAAAACCAGTAGCACCTGTGACCAAAATGGTTTTCTTGTCAAGAACATCAAGAATACTACCCAGCTCCATTTTTCAACTATAGATTCAAGTTCGATTTCTTGCACTATTTGTGTAAGGAAAAGAAAAGAATTATATATATATATATATATATATATATATATATATATATATATATATATATATATATATATATATATATATATATAGGGTTAGGTTCATTTGAAACCACCTATATTTTGTGAGACCGTGAGACGCATTTATTTATTTATTTTTATTTTTTTTTAATTTTTTTAATTTTTTTTAGTTAATTCATTTTCCGAAAATAATATTTAAATTGTTAATATCACAACAATATAGTAAATACAAATTAAATAAACAAAAAAACAATCCAATTAGGTGATGTTTTTGTTGCCTTTTTGTCGAGCTTGTATCTACTTCGTTTAATAGGATTAATTAATGAAGCCAAAATAATATTTTTAAAATTCTAAAATTATATATAAATATAGTCTAATCCATTAATTACTGTGAAAAAATAGCAAAAAATAGCAAAAAAAAAAAAAAAAAAAAAAACTCAAATTACAATTTTAGCCATGAAAATTGTAGATGAATTAAGCCCATCAAGAATTTTTGCAAGCCATTTGCGATTTATTTATGTCATCTCTAATTTAATTTTTTCCAAGTATAAATACGCTCTTTTTTCTTTTTCTTTTTTTTTGTTGTTTCGTTTTTCACACTTTTTTCTTTGAAGTTTCTCTCTATATCCGGAAGCAATGGATGATTTCATTAACAATACCAATAATATGATAAAATCTTTACCCATTTTGTATTTTAATCATGATTTATCAATTTTAGACTTTATTTATTTACGATTTGTTGGGAAAAAATTTGAAAAAAAAAACGAAAATATTAGTAGATTTCAGGTGTTTCTCATCCAATTTTTTGGATCTGTGTGCTATATTTGATATTTACTAGATTTTAAAAGTAGCATTGAAGTTTTGATAGCATTTATAAATTTGATCTATGATTGTACAAGCGCATAATACATAAATCGTGCTTTGTGAGGTTGTATATTTGGTATTTTTGTGTTAATATGTTATATAAATGTGTTAGTATGTTGTAATAATATAATTTTTTGATATAAAAATGATTATTGTTGCTCTATGATGTTGTACCTTTGTATTTTGAGGTTGTACATATATTTTATCAAAAAAATATTAATTTAACTATTGATAGTATAAATATGGTTATATATAGAAATATCGTTTATATGTTACAATTTGGATATTGTTATAAATAGACTTTCGAATTATTTTGTGATTGTAATCGCATGTTATTATAATAAGATAAAACTGCAAATTTGGTCCCTGTGGTTATCAAAAAAACGTGGATAGAGTCCAAAATCTTTTCAATTTGCACCATTGGTCCAAAATTGGATCTTTTTTGTGGATATAGTCCATATCAAACTTAAAAGTAGCATTGAAGTTTTGTGTTATATTTGATATTTACTAGATTTTAAAAGTAGCATTGAAGTTTTGATAGCATTTATAAATTTGATCTATGACTGTACAAGCGCATAATACATAAATCGTGCTTTGTGAGGTTGTATATTTGGTACTTTTGTGTTAATATGTTATATAAATGTGTTAGTATGTTGTAATAATATAATTTTTTGATATAAAAATGATTATTGTTGCTCTATGATGTTGTACCTTTGTATTTTGAGGTTGTACATATATTTTATCAAAAAAATATTAATTTAACTATTGATAGTATAAATATGGTTATATATAGAAATATAGTTTATATGTTACAATTTGGATGTTGTTATAAATAGACTTTCGAATTATTTTGTGATTGTAATCGTCATGTTATTATAATAAGATAAAACTGCAAATTTGGTCCCTGTGGTTATCAAAAAAACGTGGATAGAGTCCAAAATCTTTTCAATTTGCACCATTGGTCCAAAATTGGATCTTTTTTGTGGATATAGTCCATATCAAACTTAAAATGACTATTATACCCTTTTAATTTGTTTTTTACTTTTTTTTATGTTTCAGCCTTTATTTTAATATTTTGATAATTAAAAAAATAAGAAATACGCACCCTACCCCCACCCCTTCTCTCCTACCCTCCCTCTATCTCTCTTAAGCACATACACACACATAACTCATATTCATCGTCTTCTCCAAACCACACCCCTTATTTTTCCCTCCCATTGGAAACGTCCCCCACAATGCACACTAAACCTAGGTATATCTCTCCTTCCCTCAGCTCTCAATCTCTCCTGCATCGTGACCCACCTCCAAACCCTTCTTTCTCCCATCCTTTTTGTTGATGGATTGAAGATGGAAAGAAAATAGGGACAAGCGATTGAATGAGACAAGAGATAAAGATCAATTGAGGGAAAACAATAGAAGGCAGCAACTATGCTACCGCCGGAGATGCAGAGGAACAAAGACAACGAGGATGCCATTGATGGAGGCAATGGTGGCCGGAGAAAAGGGTGATAATGGAGATACGCAACCCCCTTTCTCGTCCAGCAACAGAAATCGACCTTCTTGCTCTCGTTCCTTTATTCTAAAAACCGATTCACACTCAATCGGTACCCCTCCATGAAACACAACCTCCTTTTTCTTCCTCAAAATTTATCGCTGCTCTACGCTACATTCCTTCTTTTTTGTCTAAAAATCGACTACACAAAAAAAATGCAACCTCTCCCAACGTTCCTTTTACTTTCTCAAAAATTGATTATCAGCCTTTCTTCTTCTCTAGATCGATTAATCACTAGATTTTTTTCTTTTTCCATCCTTGGTTCGATAAAACTGATTTTTGGTGGTTAACAAAGGTATAAGGTGGCTGATAGTGATTGTATTGGTTATGTTTTTGGTGCGTTATAGTTACAGTAAAAAGGAGGAATAAGGGTGGGTTTTTTGTGGTTAACGTTAAGCTGTAATGGTGGGATTACAGTTGAGGTTGAAGATGGTTGAAAGAGGTGAAGGTCGATGGTTGTGTTCTTGAGTGTCTCCGGTGGTGACTGGTGGTTGATTTGGGAAGTGGTAGTGATGGGTGGTTTTTGGGTTTGGATGTGGAGAAGGGATGAGGCTGTGAATGGAGTGGTTTAAGCTTCATCCATGGGGGGGAGAGAGAGAGAGAGAGAGAGAGAGAGAGAGAGAGAATGTGGGATGGCATGGTGTTGGTAGGTGTTTTTATTTATTTTTAATTATCTGATATTAGGAAAACACAAAAAATGTGAAAAACAAATTAAAAGGGTATAATCATCATTTTAAGTTTAACAGGGACCATATCCACAAAAAAAATTTGATTTTGGACCGATAGTGCAAGTTGAAAAGATTTTGGACTTTATCTACATTTTTTTGATAACCACATGGACCAAATTTGAAGTTTAGTCTTATAATAATATGTTTTTTTGACAGGTTTTTTATTATATAGTATAGTTTTTTTACTATATACTTTTATTATTATTTAGTATAGTGTTTTTTACAATTTTTTATCCTTTAATGTTTTTTAACCTTCTTACATGTTGTTTTTCAGCATTATTCTAGAAATTTAAATGTTAACGCTGCTGTAAATCTAAAAGGATCGGAATGTAACATATGACAAGTATATTTGAAGTATTGTGTGGTGTGGGACAGGAAATTTTTAGTAGCACCCTGTTTGGATATTTGTTTGACGTCCCTCAATTACAAGGGGATGGGTCACTATTTAAATGTTTTTTCATCAGTTACGACCAGACCTAGTAGTATTGTAACGTCCCATTTTTCACAACCAAAAATTTTTCATTTTTATTAAGATGAAAACTTTCCAATTTATAAATCCATTATTAAGAAATCTGTTTATTCCAAATTACATTTGTTCAAAATCAGAGTTATATAGAAAACGTGGAATCCTCAATGTTGTTGATGCATGTGTACCGTCCCGCCTTTGCTTTCCCTTAGACTCCAATGATACCTGAAACAATAAGCAACTGGATAAGCATAAAGCTTAGTAAGTTTCCCCCAAAATACCACCTACCATACATATCAACATATAATGGGCGTCGCCCGTCATCGGACTCGCCCGAAATCAAACCTTGTCTGGCATCGGGCCCCGCCACGCATCAGGCACCGTCTGGCATCAGGCCCCGCCCGACATCGAGTCCCGCTCGGTATATAGATATGTCAGTCATCAGGCTCCGTCTGTCACTGGGCCCCGCCTGGTATAAACATATAAACACACAACACATGTCGTAATCACAGATATAAATAGCATAGAGGCTAGCCTTCAGGCCCTGCCCGACATCCGATTGTACCCGGTAATCATAAAAAACACATACATATAACTAGCATACAATATACTCATCAAGCCCTACCTGGCATCGGGTCGTACCATGTAATCAGAAAAACACATACAATTTTATAGGTTATTACAGCAAGCAGCATACTCGACACTAGAACACAGGTCTAACAGATCACTACAGCATAGAAACATACTCGATACCAGAACACAGATCTACCAGATTACTATAGCATAACAAAATACTAAATATCAACAATCCAAGGATCGTATGTCTGAATGTACTCACAGGTGAGATAGTCACCTGGACAGGTGATCCTACTTTGGAACCACAACCAAACAAGGAACATGTAAGAGAGCTTAGATCAAAAGTCCTCAATTCTATCCTACATGACTATATAATCCCTAAGATATGCCTCTACTAACAGATAACCAAAACTAGTAGGCCGGTAATTTTGCCTTCGACCCACATGTATAGTAAGGCGAAACTCACCTCGATATACGAGTAGATAACCACTGTAGCAATGAAGAACTCTACCAGCTTCAACTCACTTCCAACCACCTATAGGAAGATAGTTGAATCAATACCTATTCACAGGCCATAGTTGTTGGATTAGGTGTCATAAGATTTCCTCCTTCATGAAAATGATTGTGAGGAAATGCTTTCACTAAGAAAGATTTTAAAAAGATAGTGATTGTAAAATTGCATTCTCAAATTCGATTATGGTTACGGTATCCCTTTCCATGATTTGAGTTGTAAGGTTTGGCAATTAGTC